CTGAGGCCCTGGGTTCGATTCCTCAGCACCACATAAGCAAAAAGAAAAAAGCCAGAAGTGGCGCTGTGGCTGAAGAGCTGAGGGACAGTGCCCAGGCCCAGAGTTCAGGCCCCACGACTGGACCCCCCCCCCCCCCCCCCCCCCCCCCCCCCGCCAAAAAAAAGAATCTTGCAGACTTTCTTGCCCAGGCTGGGTTCAAGCCATGAACTTCAGGTCTCAGCTTCTTGAGTAGCTAGGATTACGGGCAGAGCCATCAGCACCTGGCTTTTTTCTGGTTTTGATTCATATTCAGTTTTTTGGGGTTTGTTTGTTTGTTTGGTCATAGGGCTTAAATTTAGGGACTTGGGTGCTGTCTCTGATCTTTTTCACTCAAGGCTAGTGCTCTGCCACTTTGAGCCACAGCTCTACTTCAGTTTTCCTGTGGTTAATTGGAGACAAGAATCTCTTGGAATTTTTCCTGCCTGGGCTGTCTTCAAACTGCAATCATCAGAGCTCAGCCTCCTCTGTAGCTAGGATTACAGATATAAGCCACTGGTGCTCAGCTTTGTTTTTGTTTTTATGTTATACCTTACTTCATTGCTAATTACTTGTTGAGACCATAGTTCTAGCCACATTGAATAACAAAGAGTTTCACATCTTGTTTTTATATTTCTGAGACTGCCTTCTCTGCTGGGAGTTCTCTTCTTTTCTAAAATTTCATCTTAAATCTATACTTTTCTGATTCCTCTAAGGTTAGTGACCTTATAGGACTTCTCAGTTCTTTATTAGTGCTTGTCATATAGTGTAGAATGTCTTATAGATTGTATTGCCTTAGAAATCTAATATTCCTTCCAAACTGGACTGTATCTGTTAGCTGTCTTTTACTGAACAGTATTTTGGTTCAAGAAGTAATTCCCACTCAGCAAAAGCTGGGAGGAATGGGTTTTTATTTATATTCTTATGTTCTTAGTATGAATTCCTAAGAGCAAGGATCGTCAAATTTTATTATCTGTTTGTCGCATGTGAATATCTTCATCATAACTATACTTTTAATTTCCTCGGTAATTATATTTCTTAGTAATGGATAAGTCTCTGAATTACAATGTTTTTAGAGGGCTTTGCTTATTATTTGCTACATCATTTGTGAAGTACTATAAGCTAAGTTTTGCTGTTAACTACAAAATTCAAACCACATAATAAAGATTTCATGCTTAAAACTGGTTAGTGTGATGGTATAGCTTCCTTCTAGAGTTGTCTAGGTGGATTAGAGATTATTTCACGACATTCTTCCCTTGTTGCAAACTAAAGCAAAAGAAGGAAACGTGGCAAATCTTTCAGTGACTTGTAGTGGTTTTGCCCAAAAGAAACTTTCAACTACCCCCTTTAAGGACAAACTTAAGAGTCAGCCACATCTATATTCAGAAGAGGTGAGCTGGTACTGTATACCAGAAAAAAAAGGAATTGGTTAGCAGTCTTATTACAAACACTATAAGCTTGTTGGCCTAATCTTTTTTAATTCAGGTTGTGCTCTGGAAGGTTCTTTGGTTTTTATTTTCCTTCTAAATATCAGTCAGTGTTCAGATTCAGGTTAGCCCAAATATTACACAAAAACTCAGTATTCCATACCTCTGATTGACTGTCACAGTAGCATCAAAATGTTACCAATTTCTGGAAGATGGTAATTACATTGAGATTATGTGACTGTCCTTAAAAATAAGGGTAATGATATATACTTATTTGTAGATGTTCAGCAGTAATAGCTTGAGGGTAGTCAGAGAAAGAAAGCAAACAACATAAAGTTTAAAAGTAGGTAAATCTAAGATTATATGGGAGTTTCTTGTACTTTGTTCCTGCAACTTGTTATAAATTTGAATTTTTTCAAAATAAAGTTAAAATCATAGCACAAATTTTAAATAGCACAAAATTTAAATATTAAATATACTTAAGCTACTTTTGTTTTTCATTATAATATTTTGAAAGTGCTTCTCCTTTCCTCTGAAGGCCTGTTATCTGCCTGCACTGTAGTAATTAGTGGTCTTCAAAAACAAAGGTGGAGGCTCAAAACCTTAAACCTGTAGAAGGATGTGACTATTTTAATTCACAATGCCAGATTTCATTACAAGATACTTTTTTTCCCTTCTAGTTGGTTGAAATGTTGGATATGTCTGTTCCTGCAGTGGCTAAATTGAGACGCCTTTTAGATAGTCTTCCAAGAGAAGCTTTGCCAGATATTCTGACTTCAATTATCCGAACAAGCAACAAAGAAAAACTCCAGGTACAGTGTTCTCTTCTTAAATGACAGGTTGCTCTGTCACTTTTTATTTATATCTGATAGTTAGATTTTGACCTTCAAGAAAGATAACACAGGGCTGGGAAGGTGGCTCAGTGTTAGAGTGCTTGCCTTGCATGCCTGAGGCCCTGGGTTCGACTCCTCAGCACCACATAAGCAAAAAGAAAAAGCCAGAAGTGGTGCTGTGGCTCAAGTGGTAGAGCGCTAGCCTTGAGCTGAAGAGCTGAGGGACAGCGCCCAGGCCCAGAGTTCAGGCCCCACGACCGTACCCCCCTCCCCAAAAAAAGAAAGATAATACATGAAACTTTCTAAGAAGTAGTTAAAATGCTTTATTTTGGCATTGACTTTCAAAAGCAGTCTTTTAGCAGGTTGTGCCAGTTTATAATCCCAGCACTTGAGGAAGCCAAAGCAGTTCAATGCCATCCTGAGCTAGATAGTGGGAACTCTAGTCTCAAAAAAGGTGGGTGGGTAGGGGGAGTAGATTGCTTTATATTTTTGTGTACATAAGCAGTCCTTTTATTTTAACAGTTGTGAGTACTTGGTCAACTTAAAGAAACAGTTAAAGCACAGAAACATAAAAAAATAAAATTTTAATGTAATTTTGTAAATACACTTTGTCACAGGGTTTTCTAAACTTGTGGAGCCATGTCCTTTATTTCCCATATATTTACCTGCTTTAATAAAATTCTTCATGATGTTTTGTTTTGTTAAAGACAGGTTCTCACTGTTCAGAAACCATCCATCCATTTTGTTTCTGACTTCAGACTGCAGGGATTATAGGCTTATATCACTACACTTGTCTCCCTTATATTTTTTATATTTCACTCTCAGGATGCATTATGTGACTTTTCATTTCTATTTCTTTCAAATGAAATGACTTATAAAGACCCTTGAAAAATAATTCAAAGGTAGAATTCTAAGTTTACAAGGCAAAAACAGTTTTTTATCCCTATTTTTATAGTATAATTTAATATTCATAGAGTAGTTTTACTAGAATTAATCTGTTTAATTGGATTTCTGCTTTCATTGAAACAACTCTATTTTACTAGCTCACTTGATACTTAAATACCACAATTTTAATAGGAAGAGTTACTTAAACAGACTGATTGAGCCACAGACTCATAAGCAGTGAGTGGGAGCAGGAGAAAATAGGCCTGCTGAGAAGTCACTCTGTTTGGTCATTAGCTAGCCTATTGTCCTGAGGGAGTCAGGGATCATCAGCCACAACACACCATCTTGGAGGCTGGTTAATTGTGTTTGGACAAATTTAATATTTGAATTTAGAATATGAAGAGACTCAAAATGTAGGCACATTATCAATCTTATGATTGGTTCTTGATGGAACTTGGTTTTTTAATTTTCTTTTTTTCTTTTTGCCAGTTTGGGGCCTTGAGTTCAGGGCCTTCCACCCTCACTGGTGCTTTACACTTTTACTTCCAGCTTTTTGCTGGTTAATTAGAGATAATAGTCTCATGAATTTGTCTGCCTACGCTGGCTCTTGAACCTTTATCCTCAGATGTCAACATTCTGAGTAGCTAGGATAGGTGTGTCATTAGCATTTCAGTTATGCCTTCAGTTTTGAAATGAAAAAATCAAGATTTTTGCTTTTTGTTAACCTCTTGTATATTATCAAAATAGATTTGGTAGCTAGCTATATTACAGTATAATGCCTATCATGATTTCTGACAGGAATTGATGAGTTTCTTTGGGTTTTGAGGGGTTAGGCATATATGCCAGAGGTGAACAGGAGGTTGTATCCCACAGCCCTGTTAAAGCCTACATCAAAGAAGGTTACATCTAGGCTTCCATGTCCCAAAGTATAGATATTCCCACTTGTCCACTGACATAGATTATGTGTAGGCTAAGAGCAGAATTGCAAGAGACAGCACAGCAAATGGTGGAGTTAACCCCAGATGGCTGCACCAGAGTTGCTTAGTGGTGCCTACTTAAGCTTCACAGCATCACCCTAATAGGACTGCTGCAGTGACAATGCCAAAATGATTCTAGGGTGTTTTTCTTTTGTTTTTTAACTCAACAATATAAGTCATATTTCTGTCAGTATTTGAGGCATGTGTTTGTGAAAGAGGTACTAATAGATTCACCTTTTTCAGATTTTAGATGCTGTGAGCCTGGAAGAGCGGTTCAAGATGACCATCCCACTACTTGTCAGACAAATCGAGGGCCTGAAATTGCTTCAGAAAACCAGAAAACCCAAGCAAGATGATGATAAGCGAGTAAATACTTCTTTTTTTTTTTGTCAGTCGTGGGCCTTGAACTCTGGGCTTGGGCACTGTCCCTGTGCTCTTCAGCTCAAGGTGAGCGCTCTACCACTTGAGCCACAGTGCTGCTTCCAGTTTTCTAGTGGTTTATTGATGATAAGTCTCACAGACTTTCCTGCCTGGGCTGGCTTTAAACCGTGATCCTCAGATCTCAGCCTCCTGAGTAGCTAGGATTACAGATGTGAGCCACCAGCACCTGGCGTAAATATTTCTTCCAGTTTTTTCCAAGTGTTGTCAGTGGAGACAAATGGCAAGCTCTGGTCTTACCAAAGACAGAATTCAGGGTCTGACACACAGAGGTGTTTTCAGAGCAAGAATAGTATATAGAATCTGAGGATGGGCAGTTTGAACAGGTAGTGAAATTCATTGATTTAGTTTTGTTTGAAACAGAACAAGTTGGAAGCCAGGTATATTGCTATAGAACCAGCCACTAAGGAAGCTGAGGTAAGTGGATACATTGAGACCAGGAATTTGGGCCCAGCCTGGAAAATATAACAAAACACTGTCTCGAAGAGCAGAAGCAGAACTTTGTCTCAAAATATAATTTAAAAAGGGCTGTGGATTTAATTTAGTGGTAGAGTGCTTGCCTAGGATATATCAGACTCTGGGTTCAATCCATAGTACTGCTCAAAAAAAAAAAATCTGAATTGAGTCTGGCTTAGGTTAGATTACACCCATCAAGTCAGTGACTCAATTATTTATTTTGTGCAGAAGTAAACACTGTAGGCTTTATATTGAGAGTCATAAAAATCTGCAATTTATTGAGTTCATATACTGTTTAAAAAGAAATTTGTTAGACAAGCATCAGAGTCTCACACCTGTAATCCTAGCTAGGCAGGAGGCTGAGAGCTAGAAGATTAAGGTTCAAAGCCAGCCTGGTCAAAAAGGTCAATGAGACTTTATCTCCAATTAACCAGCAAAATGCTGAACTGGAGGTGTGGCTCAAATGATAGAGCTCCAGACAAACAAATGGAAAAAGTGTTACATCCCCATGTTCATGTCTTGATACTGGCACAAAAAAAAAAAGAAAAGAAAAGAAAAGTAAGTGTAGGGGTCAGAGAATAATAGAATTTGCTGATAATGGTCTCCCTTTAATTGCATTCAAATGTTTTCTTTTTCTCAACAATAAAATCATTGATGTATATTTTTTTGAGACAAATAGCTATGAAACTTAGGCTAGTCTTATTTTTTTATTTTTATTTTTTATTGTAAAGATACTATACAGAGGGTTACAGTTACATGAGCAAGGTAATGAGTATACTTCCTATTGAGCATTGTTATTACCCCCTCTATTGTTTTCCCCCTACCATCCCTTCCCTCCCTACCTTCCCCGAAGTTCTTTTTTTTTTTAATTGTGATTAAGTGATTACATAATTCCCCAAATTTTACAGTATTGTGGGATAGTGATACTCATTTAAAGCCACAAACTCATTCTAACTTTCCTGGAGCAAATTGTCTATCACAGTCTATAACATATAACAGTGTACACATATACACCATACATGTGATCAGCAGCATGGGGATATTTAGAAGTGGTTCGACCAGATGAGTGGGAGTTCTTTGTTTCTTAAGTCCTGTTAATTTTGTCGTATCACCTAACAGTTTGGATTTAGCATCCACTTATCAGAGAGACCATGTACCGTTTGTCTCTTTGCTCTTGGCTTAGCATGATTCCTTCTAGCTCCATCCATTTCCCTGCAAATGTTAGGCTAGTCTTAAACTGATCCTTTTTTCTCAGTTTACCAAGTATTAGGATTACTAAAATGTACTACCATTAATGTACTTTTGACGTTTATTGATGTATTTTTCAAACTTCACTTCAAATTTTTCATTTTTAGTTTTTATGCTGAAAAATGTTTTATTGGTGTGCTGTTCAGGAGGGAGGAACAAACGAGGGGGGTGGGGAGGGGAGCAAGTTGGGCGTGGGAGAGCCCCCAGCCCCCTGCCCAAAGATCCCAACTGGAGGAAGCCTAAGTGTCACTTGAATTCTGCCCCAGGAGCAGGAGCCTGGGATCTGAGCGCCTTGTTTAGCAATTACTGCTGCAGCACGTCCTGTAAGTTACAGGAAAGTTGTCAGTGAAGGAGGACGATCACTTGTCCTCCTCCTAGTCCCTCACTCCTAGTCCCTCAAGACCCCAGGATTGCCTCAGTCTGGGAGAGGAGTTCCAGAATGAAAAGCAAAAAAGGTGTTTTTGCAGCACTTGGCAGTGAGACTGAGGATGAGGACAGCATGGACATCCCCCTGGACCTCTCTTCTTCAACTGGCTCAGGCAAGAGGAGAAAGCGGGGCAACCTGCTCAGGGAGTCTATTAAGATTCTACGAGACTGGTTCTATGAGCACGGATACAATGCCTATGCTTCTGAGCAAGAAAAAGCACTACTGTCCCAACAGACACACCTGTCCACACCCTAGGTGTGTAACTGGTTCATCAATGCCCACCCCAGGCTTCTTCCAGACATTCTGAGGAAGGATGGCAAAGATCCTAATTAGTTCACAATCTCCCGCCGTGGAGCCAAAATTTCTGGAACCAGCTCTATGGAGATTGCCATGGCATCAAAAAGTTCATGCTAGCTCTAGAGGACAGCCCATTTCATTCCTGCACAGCTGGACCTAACCTAACTCTGGTAGGGAGATCACTGTCTCTGAAACCCTCATCCCTGGGATCACTTTTGGCTTGTCCATCCATGATCTGCCATACCACTGTGACGGCATTAAAGGACAAGCCTCTTGCTCTCTGCCAGTCAGTTGGTGTGGGACATAGCACAGATATCCAGCAGATAGCAGCCAGAAATTTCACAGACACCTCACTCATGTACCCAGAAGATGCTTGTAATAATACACACACAAAGAGTGGTCTTTTCAATGCTCCACCCCCTACGCTGCCTGATCTGAACCAGGATTTTAGTGGATTTCAGCTTCTAGTTGATGTTGCACTCAAATGGGCTGCTGAGATGGAGCTTTAGGCCAAACTTACAGCTTAACCCATTTTTGCAAGCAAAACACTTCTCCAAAATGTTGTCATGATTGCCGGGGTGGTGGCAAGGGTTGAATTGCATTATTTTTTATATGTCTTATTAATATTTGCTCATGGGATTGCTCAAATGAAGCTTCCTATTACTGATGTTTTCAATGGAATAATGTCATTCCAAGAATATAAACTCAGAGCTACTGTAGAAACAAAAGGGTTTTTTTTTCTTTCTTTCCTTTATTTATGTTTCTTGGTATTCATGACTAGTAATTTTTTTTTTTTTGGTCAGTTGTGGGAATTGAACTCTGGGCCTGGGTGCTTTCCCTCAGCTCTTCAGTTCAAGGCTAGTGCTCTACCACTTGAGCCACAGTGCCACTTCCGGCTTTTTTTCTTTTTTGCTTATCTGGTGCCGCTTCCTCTTGGTAGATTATTCATAATGTGAGCTGGTTCCCAATATCATGTGATTTTTTTTTTTTGGGTCCGGTCGTGGGGCCTGAACTCTGGGCCTGGGCGCTGTCCCTCAGCTCTTCAGCTCAAGGCTAGCGCTCTACCACTTGAGCCACAGCGCCACTTCTGGCTTTTTTCTTTTTGCTTATGTGGTGCTGAGGAATCGAACCCAGGGCCTCAGGCACGCAAGGCAAGTGCTCTACCACTGAGCCACCTTCCCAGCCCCAATAAAGCATTTTCTTTAAAACATATTTTATTGCTAAAGCATAATTATATTTGTTTTATCTGCTAATGACTTGCATAAGAACAAAAGTTTGTATTTGGTATTCCTGGTTTTATTCCTTCTATACCTGACATTATTCTTTAGATTCATTTTTTTTCTCTTTGGTAGTACAGAGATTTGAACTCAGGTTCTTGTTCTTGCTAGGCAGTCAGGTACTTTGCCACTTAAGTCAACCTATATATATATATATATTTTTTTGAAAATACTGTACAGAGGGGTTACAATTACATGGGCAAGATAATGAGTACATTTCTTATCAAGCATTGTAGCCTCCTCCTTTGTTTCCCCTTCCCATTCCATTCTCCCCCCGCCCTCCTCTTTTAGTTATTTTTAATAGGCATTTCCTTCATTTTTTCCCCTGTGTAAGTTTTAAAATAAGTATGTAACAAAAAAATTTTGTCCATTCTTTAAGTGCTTTTGAAACTCTGCTGCCTACATATATACATCTGCCTTTTATTTTTTTGTTTCTTTTTATTATTTTTGTTTTGTTTTGCGTATTGTGGTTGTGATTACATAAACTTCACAGTATTGTCAGATAGTGATACTTAAAGTCACAAACACATTCTAACTTTCATGGGGCAAATTGTCATTATTGTGCTCTATACAGTTTGTGAATTCTATGAGCTTTGACAATACAACTATTTCTTCCATATCTGATGGTATGTACATTTCTTTTCTTTCGCTTAGTGTTAGCTGTTCCCTCTATCCCTCTCATTCCCTCCCTCCCACCACTGCCCTTGAATTGCTTAGTTTGTTTTCATCAATGGTCATTGCAGCTGATGGGCCCCTCTGTTGTGTATTTTTCTCTGATTCTGTATCTCCTACTGGTTTCCCTCAGATGTGTGCATATATACCATATATGTGGTCAACAGCATGGGGTCATTTAGTAATGATACAGCAAGATGAGTGGAGGTTCTTTGTTTCTCCAGTTCTGTTCGCTTTGTCTTATCTCCTTACATTTTGTATTTAACATCCACATATCAGGGAGACCATGTGCCATTTGTCTCTTTGCTCTTGGCTTACCTCACGCAAAATGATTTTTTCTAGGAAGTGGTGCTGTGGCTCAAGCAATAGAGCGCTTACCTTGAGCTGAGGAGCGCAGGGACAGCCCAGAGTTCAAGCCCCATGACCAACCAAAAAAAAAACCCAAAAATGATTTTTTCTAGTTCCATCCATTTCTCTGTGAATGCCATTATTTTGTCTTTGCTAATGGCTGCATAGTATTCCATTATATATAGGTACCACAATTTTGGGAT